ATGGTTTGTGTTAGTTCCAATCTTGTCTTTATGTCCCTGTGAGTATAGTTTGTCTCTTGAACTCAGCAGTTAGCCTTCAACAGTCTGAAGCAATGATAATATGTGGTAACATTAGAGCTTGTCACAAGTCACACAACATCAGCTTGTAGTCCAGCAGGTTTATTTGAAATCACAAGCTTTCTGAGCAATGCTCCTTCGGCAGGTAGAGGCAAGCGCACAAGCACAACATTTTTGACAGGGAGATTTCAAATAAACCTGTTGGACTATAACCTAGTGTCATGTGACTTCTGACTTTGTCCACCCCAGTCCAACATCGGCACCTCCACATCAACATTAGAGCTTGGTTAAGCATCTCAGGATGCCTTCTGATTTCAGTCAAGTTTGTCTGTTCAGTGTTCTTTTTGTTGTGAGTCAAATCCTGATTTGTTTTGTTCATTTCATGGGGCGTATGTGTTGTTTGCTGGGTCAGCATTTATTGCCCCTTCCTAGTATTTTAATATATAATCCAAGGTGTCCAGCCCATTCTGTTGGTTTCACATCACAACTGCTACCAAAAGTCGACATTGAGAAGGGAGGCAGTTGGTAAAAGAGTTGGTAGTCAGAGGAATGGAAGGATAGGGGTTTCTGAAGCAACGACAAAGGAGTGAGACCTATGTGTTCAGGTACGTGGCTCTTTGAAAGAGGTGGTAATGAAGGGATGTGGCATGCTTGCCTTCATTGGTCACAACATTGAGCATAGGAGTTGAGATGTCATGTTGTGGCTGTAAGGGCCATTGGTGAGACCACTTTTAAAGTACTATGCACAGTTTTGTTCACGCTGCAATAGGAAGAATATTATTAAATTGGAGAGGGTGCAGAAATGATTGCAAAGATGTTACTGGGACTAAAGGCTTTGGCTGAGAAGAAGAGGCTGGGTAGGCTAGGACATTTTCCCTGGAGCATAGGAGGCTGAGGCATGACCTTACAGAGGTTTATAAAATCATGAGGGCCACAGAGAAAGTGATTAGCAAGAGGTCTTTGCACTGGGGTAGGGGAGTTCAAGCCTGGAGGGCATAGATTTCAGGTGAGAGGAGAACGATTTAAAAAGGAGCTGAGGGGCAACTTTTTTCACACAGAAGGTGATTCATATGTGGAATGAACTGCCAGAGGAAGTGATAGATGCAGGTAAAGTTACAAAAGTTAAAAGACATTTGGACAGGTACATGAATAGGAAAGGTTTAGAGGGATGTGGGTCAAACACAGGCAACTGTTAGTTTAGTTTGGGAACTTGGTCAGCATGGATGAGTTGGACCCAAGGATCTTTTTCCATGCTGTATGACTCTATAACTCTATGAGTGGCTTATAGCAGGCACCCCATTCCTGATAGCAAGCTCAGTAATCATGGGATCCCCATTCCTGAGGTAACAAGCTGTCCACAGGCTTTCACCACAGGGCAACAGGCCCAATTGCAGCTGGGTTAATGCCAACAGAGGCAAGCAGAGGACCTTAAATGGCCACTTAAGGGCCTCAATTGGCAGCAGGATGGGTTTGTTTGACCATAAGCCTTCCCAACCAGAATTCTGGCAGAGGAGGGAAGGAAATGGGGCTTGGTATACCATGACCCCACTTAAGTAAATGTCCTTTTGGCCTCCAAGCTTACCACTCATGGGAATGGAAGATTCAGCGCAAAGTTAACATTTCATGTCAGTGAGATTTGGGCCATTCTGGCAAGTGACACCAAAATGCTCACTGTGATGTGGAACAGCTACTAAATCTAAAGCTAGGAATAAAACCAGGCAAACCAGCTGGCATCAAACTAGGACGAGAAAAGGCACCAGCAAATCTCACAGCCCTGTTGACCTGTACTAATGTGTGGGAGCTTATGCCAGAATTGAGAGCCTGTCCCATAGTCTACTCACAGAGTCATCCTGCACAATGTTGGGGGCATACTATAGGTGGTGGTACAGTGATATACCGTCAGAAAGAAGTTGTGTTGGGAGTCCTCAACATTGACACTAAACCCCTGTGAAGTATTATTGTATCAGGTCAAACATGAACAAGGAAAGCTTTGGCTAAATACCACCAACCTGGCCCCCCTCGATTGATGAATCAGTACTCCTTTATATCAAACTCCACTTGGAGGAAGCACTGAGAGTGGCAAAGGCACAGAATGTACTCTTGGTGTGAGATTTTAATGACCGTCACCAAGAGAGGCTCAATAGCATCATTACTGACTGAGCAGGCTAAATCCTAAAGTACTAGGTTGGCATAGTGGTTAGCACGGCTGCCTCACAGTGCCAGGAATCCAGGTTTGATTCTACCCTTAGGTGACTGGCTGTGTGGAGTTTGTACATTCTCCCCAGTCTGCATGGGTTTCCTCCCACAGCCCAAAGATGTGGATTGGCCATGCTAAATTGCCAATAGTGTCCAGGGATGTGCAGGCTAGGTGGGTTAGGGTAGGTGGGTGGTTCAGGGTGGGCTGCTCTTTGGAGGGTCAGAGTGGACCTGATAGGCTGAATAGCATGCTTCCAACCTGTAGAGACTCTATGACTCACAAAATAGTTCTTGTATTTATTTGGGGACGCAGCATCAATGGCTGTGACATCTTAATGTGGTTACATTGAGATTAGACATTACTAACAATGTCAGAAAATAGCCAACATCAACTTTCAGATTATTTTTTCATTGTATAAATAAATTTGAGCTAGAGACTAGATTTTAATTGAGGAATCTTTCCACCAGATGTAATTTGCAGGAAAGCAAAGATTTACAAATAAAGGCACAATACTGCAGATTCTGGAAATCTGAAACAAACTCAGAAAAAACTGGAGAAACTCAGCAGGTCTGGTAGCATCTATGGAGAGAAAGAAACAGAGTTAACGTATTGAGTCCAATATGACTTCTCTGCATTTTCAACTGCAAGTACTCCAGATGTATGCATTTATCTGTGTGTGAGAGATTGTGTATCACAGAATCAAACAATATGTTACTGCACAGAAGTAGGCCATTCAGCTGTTGAATCTGTGCTGGCTCTCTGAAAAAGCAATTCACCTGCTGCCATTCCTTTCCCCCTCCCCATAGCCCTGCACATTATTTCTTTTCAAATAATAAATGAATCTATCTTGAATGCAACAGTTGAATCTGCTTCCACCATACCCTCAGGTAGTCCGTTCTAAACCTTAACCATATGATGCATGAAAAAGCATTTCCTCATATGGCTGTTGTATCTTGGAATTATCTCAAATCTGTCACGTCTTGTTCTTGATCCTTCCACCATTGGGAATAGTTTCTCCTGACCTGCTCTGTCTGTGCCCCTTATGGTTTTGAGCATTTGTATCCTCATACCCTTCTTTTCCCTGAGGAAAATGACACTAAGCTAGGGAGAATAATGAATTATGAGGATGCTGCTGAGTGACTTCAGAGGGACATTGACAAGTTGGCCAAATGGACCAATGTCAATGTAGAGAAGTTTGAGGTAATGCATTTTGGGAGAAGAAACATGAAACGGCAATACAGGCTGAATGGTAGAACATTGAGGAGGATACAGGAGCAGAGGCACCTTAGGGTTCATGTACATGATTCTCTGAAGATGGCCAGGCAAGTTGAAACAGTTGTTAAGAAGGTTTATAGGATCCTTGGGTTTATAAATAGAGGCATAAAGTACAAAAGCAAGGAATTGATGCTACACTTCTACAAATGATTGCTGAGACCACATTTGGAGTATTGTGTTCAGTACTGAGCACCTTATTTATGGAAGATGTTAAAGGTCTGGAGAGAGTGCAGAGGAGATTTACTAGAATGATACCAGGAATGAGGGCTTTCAGATACAAGGCAAGTTTAGAGAAACTGGGCTTATTCTCCTTGGAGCAGAGAAGATTGAGAGGTGACCTCAGTGAGGTGTTAAAGAACTGAAAATAGTTTTGACAGGATAAAGAAGGATATTCTGTTTCCACTAGTTGGTATGTCAGTTACTAGGGGTCACAATTTTAAGATTGTCAGCAAGAGAGCTAGGAGAGAGATGATGAGAAACTTCTTTACTCAGTGAGTTGTTTGGATTTGGAATGTGCTGCCTGGGAAAGTGGTGCTGGTGGATTCCATTGGAGGTTTCAAAAGAGAACTGGATAGATATTTGAAAGTGATGCACTTCGAGGGCCAAGGAGATAGGGCTAGAGAATAGGACTTGCTAGGTAGCTCTTCCAAGAGCTGGTACAGACATTACAGGCTGAATGGCCTCTCTATTGTAAAATTCTATAACTCTATGAAAACAATCAATCTTATGACTCTCTTCTGCATTTCTTCTAAAGCCTTCACATCTTTCCCGTATCTGGAATTAATACAATAGGTCGAATCTAAGTTCCAACTGAACCAAGCTTAGTGCCATGGACTTGGGCCTGTCTGTACTCCCCAGATGAACCATCATTTTCAGTACCGTCAGTATTTTAAACAGAATACAGTTTGGAGAATGCACACACTAATGGACTCATTCACTTCCTGCCTGTTTTTTCTTAACTACCTGACAGACATCCATGTCCTCTCTCCCTGCATACTCCCTTTATTATCTAGAACTAATAAAATTGTCAATCCTTTTTGCTTTCCAAATACTATTAAAGTAAATTTAGAGGATTATTAAGGGCTGTACAAATATTTCATAAGGTGAGAATTAACTTTAAACTTACACTGTGTTTACAGCATGCAAAATATAAATAGCTACACAGAAACGTCTTTTAAGAAATTTCTTTATCGCTATGAGCTTTTGCCTGTGGTCATTTATTATTTTTGCTTCTAAGAATTCTTCATTTCCCTGTCGCCTATGGTAAAATTACAATGTGCACTTTTTCAGTCTGTTCTTGCTGAGCGATCTTGTTCACGTCTTTATATTGTGGGATGTTCTACCTTTAATTTTGCTTTAAATACCAAGTTGATATTGGAGCAGGTGCATGTCTGCACGCAAAAGCCATGCTTCAGCTACGGGCATGCACCATATATTAAAATAATCTACTTTGAATCTTTGTTTCTGTCAGCAGAGGGCAGCTATGGGATGGATGGGAAGGCTAATCCAATTAAACTGCCAAACTTCACAGAATATATCAACTGGGAAGGACTTGAAAACTTGTACAGTGTGGATGAAAGCTTGTTTGAACACAGGCCTAATTATAGCCTTAGCTTTGGAGACTGGACTAATTACTGGAAGGATGTAGATAGAACATTTGCACTGTTGAAGACTTTTTCTGGACACATTAAAACTTCCGAGCCCATTGCATTGACTAAGGGCGGGACTCTTGATTTATTGACCATTGACACCACAGCACTGGACATGGCATCTACTGCATCGCCTATTTTGGAAAATGTGTTCTCTACTGAGCCAGAGGGTGAATCTAGTGGCCTGACTGTATGGGAGATAAAAGAAGAACAACCTGCCGTACTTATAGACTCCATGAGTACAACCCTAAACTTTACAAGTGGCAACAGCGCAAAGGAGAAAGTGATAAATTACAATCGCATACCAGATAAGCATTTTTCAAATTCTGAACGGTGGAGACATAATCGGACACAAGAACTGGTAAAAGAATGGGTGGAGCTGGAAAATGATCTGGGTGTCAGTGGAAATGGCCTGATGGAGATTGAGACCAGAAACAGCTTCTTACTACAGCCAAGTAGTATGCTTCCATCACCGAGCAATCAGAATGAAGTGCAGGATGAGAAGCTGAACATATTTGAAGATCAAACGTACCTTCCTGCTGGTTCTGTTGGTCAGTTTTATCGTAAAGCTGGCACAATTCCTCGTGAAGCCAGTGTCAGCAGCAATGAGAGATCGGCAAGTGACCAACTTCAGGAAGAGCCCCCAAACAGTGGAGAAGGAATCCAAGGGAATTTCAGCATAGAAGGCAGTGCCTTTCCCCCACCGTCCTTTCATTAACTTACAACCCATTCATTATTTATTTGGACAGCTAGTAATAACGGTTTGATTTTTTTTAAGGAAGAATTTATATTGTGAGGCCCAAGCAAAGCACATTCCACTTCCATTGGAGATAAGTTTTATTGACAGACCAACCATTGGCAGAAATTTCACAATTTTATTTTAACAGTGTCATCTGGAATGAGGGAACAATAAGCTTATATTCCTCTTTTAATTGAACTCTTTTACAGCTTTTTATATAAATATGTATTTAAATGTTCAGTGTTATGTAACCGGAATCAAAATGTCTCAAGGTGCGGCAAGAAATTCTCCAAGCTTTCTCTAGTGTTCAGCCTGTAAAAATGTCATTGGTTTGGCCACTAGTACAGAGAGTCTCATGATTGTGAGACTTCCATTCCAAAAAGCCTCATTGTACACATTAATTCACCATCAACAATGTATAAGTACAGCAGTGTTTTCTTCTTACAAAGTTTTTTGCACTTTCATCATTCTTCACAAAATATTTGCAGAATTTGGCTGCCAAGTGTGGATGTATTAACAGTGCAGAGCATTGGCTCAGTAAGTTTTTTTTTGAGCTGATCATTTTAGCTGTAATGTGTAAAGGAATTTTTATTCTGTGTTCTTCACACTGTAATGTGCTGTTACTTATCAGTTGTTCTTTTTTTTCTAAAATATTTTAGGATTGTTATTTTTGCCTTTGCTTTTTTTTAACCTTTGCCTGTTTTGAATCTCTTTTTAATGAAGGAACAAGGCGAAGTCAAAGTGCTGTATTTTCTTTCATTTCATTACATTTTCCCATTTGCTGTCACACATGCACACATAATGGGACATGATATTTAAAGGGATATTGTATGTCTGAAAATGTTTTGCAATTTCGCTTTGTTGGCTGAGGGGCAAGAATTATCTGTCACTTTTAGCTTGACAACATTGAGTGCACCTGTAATAAGATGCACTTTTAATGAGATTTCACATTAATTGCATTTGCAAGCACTTTTTCTTGAATATGGTGTCCCATTATGAGTAAAACATAGGTAAAAGTACTTACAATTTACTTGATATGTCACTGTTTTGATAAAGCTGTTGATAGTTTAAAAGCCTTTTTAGCACAACCCCTAGGTTTATTTGCATGAAGGTTTGTATAATCTCTGTAGGTTTTACAGTGGTCACAGATTTTTGTTTTTATTATGCATTGACAACATCATACACTCCTAAGCCAATGTACATGTGGATCGCTGAAAGACGTCCGACTAAGTGCAGTTCTTGATATTTTGTTCCAAGGGTAAAAATTTGTATCAGTGCGTTATTTTTGTCTGTAATCAACGTTGGCCACACTATTTACTGGCAATTACACGTTGCGTGTTTCTGGATAAACTTGCAGTGATTAAACCACAATGCTTAATCCTTCTGTGAGAACATAATTGTCATTAGAAATACAAAGTGCAAAAGGTGCCAGAGTCAGAACTGAATTAAAAACACAGGAACGTTCACGACAGTGTATGTATGATTATAATACCCTGCAATGAGTTAAAAATTTGGTCTTTTGTGTAAGAAACTCCTCATATTCATTGGCTCAAACTTTCTCTTCTCCCAACCTTTCAAGATGAGACATAAGTTAGGAGATACATGGCTTACGACTGTCATTTAGATCACTGCTGCTCTAACTCTTAGCTGTCCATAAGTTTCCTTTAACATTTGTGAATTAATCTGTATTTGTTGACACAGGTTTGTGGAGATAAAGGGAAAAAGTAATTCAAGTCAGACTAAAAGCTGTGAGCGGAATTTATTCAGGCAGGTTTCAGATCCTGTGATGGGGGAAGAAGGTCCCAGAAGTCAACACCAAAGTGGGATCCCTATATCATCTTAAAATAACTGCACAGAGGCAGGTATCCTGTCACCGAGTCACCCTTTATTTACATGTGCATTATCCATGGGCTGTGACCAACCAGATCAAAGCCTTCTGAATCTCCTGTTTATATCTGTTAGCCAGGGCTCTCTGATTGGCTCAAGTTAATAACCCCAATCAAGGATCTCAGGCAATGAGATCCACCCCCTGACCATGGTTCCAATCACAACACATCCCCAGGGTGAGTTCTGTAAGTCCAGCTCAAAAGCAACCAATGTAACTAAAAAGGCAATTAAGACCCTTTTCAACAATGCATTCCTTCTTTCTGAACAGCACACAGCTTCTAAGCTGCATCTGTGCCTCTCCAGAGTCATCCAGGTAAGTGCACAACAGAATGAAACTGCTTCATTGAACCACAGTGTTGGAACTTCTGCTCAGTGACACTGCAGAACCACAGCTACGGACAGGCCAGAGGTTCTTATACTCTCAGAGAGCACAATCACTGCTTTCTTTTTTTAATCACAGCCTAACAGGTGATTGCCAAGTTCATGGAATACATTTCCCTGTATACCACTTTGCACATTTTCAGCTGCATGATCGTGGCTGCTAGCCTTCAGCTCTGCGGACAGGCAGGAGAACATTCCATTCCAGCATCAGCAGCAACATCAGTAGCTTTCTCTTCAACCCAATGCCCCCTCCACAGGACAAAGGAAATGGACACTCAAGATCCATCTCAAAGGCAAAATCCTCAACTACAGACAGACAATCAGCTCTCATGGTGGCCTAGATGATCACCACTTGAGGCAGGGAGTGGGAGGATTTATGGCTTTGCATGTTCACCTCAGGAGAAAGTAACTTTAGAAGTTAGTCTGGGGTTTGGTTTGGGCTGCATTTGGGTCAGCTGATGGGAGAGGCAGTCATGAACCTCATTGCTTGGAGAATTTGGTAAGATAAACTGACCTTGGACATAGGTTCAGAAGTAGCAACACGACCAATGCACCACAAGCAACCCAGCCATGACGTTCCAGATTGTAGCTGAATACAAGTAGCTGCTGCTTATGGCCCACAACTCCTCATAGATTATTCAGAACATGAAGAAGATTCACTGGATTCTAAACTTTAACTGTTTCTCTGTCCACAGATGCTGCCAGACCTGCTGAGTTTCTCCAGCAATTTCTGTTTTTGTTTGAAAATACCAGCTTTGATTAGTTAGGCACTGGTTGGTCCTTTGTTGAAAAAGCCACGCCAAGAACAAAAAAATGGGCTGATTGGCTTTCCTAATCCATTATGAACAGTATGATTCTGTCAAAGAAAGAAAATTAAAACCTGAACTTGCAAAGTACTTTAATAATCTCTCCTACCACTGGGATTGCACTATTTTCCATAAAACCATGACACAGGTGCAGAATTAAGCCTTTCAGCCCATCAAGTCTTCTCTGCCATTTGATCATGGTAGAAATGTTTCTCAACCCCATTCTCCTGCCTTCTCCCATAACCCCTGATCCCTTTACTGATCAAGAACATTTCTACTTCTGTCTTAAAAATACTCAATGACTTGGCCTCCACAACCTTCTGTGGCAATGAGTTCCACAGATTCACACCCTCTGGCTTATGAACTTCCTCCTCAGCTCAGTTCCAAAGGGTTGTCCCTTCACTTGAGGCTGTACTCTCAGCTCCTAGTCTCTCCTTCTAGGGAAAATATCTTCTCCACATCCGTTCTATCCAGGCCTCTCGGTATTTTGTAAGTTTCAATGAGATCCCCCTTCATCCTTCTAAACTCCTTTGAGTGTAGACCCAGAGTCCTCAACCGCTCCTCATATGACCAGCACTCCAACCCTGAGATCGCTCTTGTAAACTTCCTCTGGATTCCCTCCAATGCCAGTACATCCTTTCTTAGGTATGGGGCACTAAACAATATTCCAAATGCGTTCTGACCACAGCCTTATACAGCCTCGATGTGGAGGTGCCGATGTTGGACTGGGGTGGACAAGGTCAGAAATCAAACGACACCATCAGTTGGAGGAGGAGTAAGACTCCGAAAGCTTGTGATTTCAAATATAGCCTGGTGTCGTTTGATTTCGGACCTTATTCAGCCTCAGCAGTACATCTCTGTTCTTGTATTCATGTATTATATCCAGCGGTACCAGAACCCATTGGAATGCAAAATAACAACTATTTATTTTGAAACAAAAATAGAGATTGCAAGAAAAGCTCAGCAGGTCTGGCAGCATCTGTGGAGAGAAATCTTGAGTTAACATTTCAGTTCGAGTGAACAGGAGGAAGGGTCACTTCACACAAAACGTTAACTCTGATTTCTCTCCACAGATACAGCCAGGCCTTTTCCAACAATCTCTGCTGAGGTTTCTGATTTACAGCATCTGCAATTCTTTTAATTTTTATTAACTATTTATTTTGCTTCCCTGGTGACTATCATCTCTGGCCTATGTCACAATGGGAGAATAGAAGGGTTGTCATGACCTGTTTAAGAGCTAACAGCAAGCTTCACCAACAACTTACCTTTGATTTTGTTATTTTAACAGATTCCATAAACTTAATTTTTAAAATAAAGTGACTTCAGTTAATACAGCACTCTTCATGACCTCAGGATCGCTCTAGGTGCTTTACAGTCCATAAGGACTTTTGAAATGTTGCCACTACTCAGATGTGGGAAAGCAGTATCAAATCTGTAGTCAACAAGCTCTTACTAATGCAAAGTAATAACAATCAGATATTCCGATTTGCTGATAATGATTGAGAGTTAATATTGCCAGGCTACCCTTAAGTACTCACCTGTTATTTGAAACAGTTCCATGGCATCTTTAAGAGACATACATCTGTTTGATAAACTTGGTAACTGGAAAACAGTTCTATATTTCTATATTATTAATGCAATATCAAATTTTCCAACTGTGTTCAGATTCAAAAGACACATGCTAATTATTTCTGTCACATGCATAAAACACAAATTGAAAATCCTTTCAGTTTTCCATTGTTTAATTCAAGATGCTCCAATAATGCGATCAGTTGTGTTTTATTGACAACATATCAAGTATTTCATGTAAACAGGTTGTTAATGAACATGATGTTTACAGATGTTCCTGATAACAAAAGAAAGCAATTAAAGGCTTTACAACAGTCATTATTACAGTCTTTGAAA